TTTTTTGTATTATATTCCAGTGATCTTTGCATTGGCTTGGGCATGAAGATGCTATAGTCGATATGCAAGTTATGTTTTCGTCACTTCATGAAGTGATACTACACCAGCGACAGGTTGCCCAAATTGAGAACCTTCCCCTGCAGTCAAGATGGCACCTCCCTGAGGTAAGAACTGTGTATTTTCAAAGTATTTGGTGACAGTCTAACGGTGTGCATTGCAGACTTTATCCATTCGTAGCGCTTTCAGCTGTACTTGTAAAAGATGCAATCATTCGGGGTGGATTTGCTCACATATTATCTCCTCTCTGCATCTCTTAGACAAGCTGAACATTGATCGGGCGTTAGAAACAATCCACACGCGTGGGCTGTCTGGACGTCCACACTCGATAGGAAACAGCCTGCAGCGAAACGATTCTTATGATATTGGCCGGCTTATCGGTATTTCCACTAAACAGTCCGGGAGGGCTCTGAAATGACCGGTTGTTGAGGAGTTTGAAGTAGTGGACGGTGGGTGACAGTCCCAGACCGCCGCATTGGGTAGGTTGCAGCATACCGACTGTCCCCGCTCGACGGCGTATACATATGGAGGGCATCTTTCGTTGACGGAAGCAGATTTCAGTACAAGGTGGAGGAGCTTGTGCACACCATTCGTAGACAACGTGATATGAGTGCTGTCGGCTGAGGAAACGATGCATCAGTAGCTAGAACGCCGGAAATCTTAGTTAATGCAACTCTTGACTTTCATTTTGCTATTCTAGACTTGTATTTATTCAATCGTTCATGCCGATTTCAGAGTCGGAGTACTGAATGTATGTGGACAGAAGATAAGAACTGACTTGATCTCGCATTAAGCTCACAACAGAATACGCATGGCTTACAACAGGAGCTTAGCATTGATTTGTACACAACAGGTAATAAGCATGTGAGAAACAGATATTAATATTATTCCTAAATAGAGGGAAAGAGAGCAAATGAAAGTTGAGTATCGTACAGTGCTGCTATTATCTATAGGGGCACTAAAGATTTTGTTGTTCTACTCGCATTACGCGGAATTAGATCATACAACTCGGTCTAAAGCTGACTTACAGAGCACATTATGGACCCATCATTCATATATTCCAGATGTCCTCCTCCCAAAAATTCGAATCCTTAACCCTTTCGTGGTTAATGGGTGTATT